AATTCTTAAATTATTCTGTTTTTTTTGTTTTTGTCCACTGAAAATTAAAATTACTCAATTTCCTGGTGGATTCTGTCTTAAATTATCGGTATGCCTATGTAGAAATTCATTTTCATCCTTGGTTCATTTTATTTAAGAAAGAAAAAAACTTTCAACCAAGGAAAACTTGCAACAAAACACTGAGTTTCCAAGAACTTGTAGCCCGCACTGCAGCTGGCGGTTTGTTTGCTGTGTGCAGGGTGTTGTTTTCATTTGTAGTTTGTAAAGTGAGAGATGTCTCTTAGACACCCCAAATGAAACCGCCAGCTAGTCTACGTAGGTTAAAGAACTTGTTGATCACAAACTTTGTATTGTTTCATTAAAACATTGAAACCCCTAACAATTCCAGCCATCTTGACCTACTTACGCTTGAGCAGTATTAATAACGTGGCATATTTACAAAGCTTTCCATTTATATACCCACAAAGGGCTAACACTAATTAAGAGATAAGAAATATTAACTCCATTTATGTACATGTAGCTTTCTTTCACAAGGGCAACTTTAACTCATAATTTGTGGTCCAAAGTTTGCATAATCTGGACACAAAAACCAACTTACGACCTGTTCCCTTAAAGGCCACTTTGCTTTGGGCACAATGTAGACTCTAAAATTTTTAGGTAATTGTGAATCTAGAAATTGAAACTAAAGGCTGGTTATTAAAACAAAGTTTAGGTGGTGTTTAACAGAACTTGCGCATTCTAAGTCATTTTTCAATTATTTTACCATCCTTACCGGCCATATCTAGAAAACATTGTTTGTTGTTAAGAGCATCAAAAAGCCTTCCAGGCTAGGCTGAAAAGATCATTTAATATCTATTTTGGGGGCCCAGACATTTTTTTAAACCTCATTCTATCAGTAAGGCTCTGTTTTAATAACCAACTCTGACTGTTTTGTGCAAAATACACATATACTCCGGCAGAGAAATCACATACTTTGCTATAAGGCCCGTTTAGAACCCTATATAAAGTTACACAAATGACATTTGAATGATGAGAAAGACATCGAATCATTCTGAAAAGCGCAAGTGAACTATAATAATAACAATATCTTTTTAATGGTTTTGAAAAGATTTTCCAATTGATGTAACTCCAGCAAACTTGAAAACGGATCGGCCCAACTTTTTTAAGGATTTGTCCATGCACTTAAGTTTTCTTATGGCATAAACTTTCTTTTTAATGATGCCTAGAGAGGCCATTAAGGTTACTATATTCACCATTTTCACATAGACCATAATTTATGCACCTTGTTTACCCCGAAAATTTTGCATTTTGTTTTCAGTTTCTCCTGGATATTACAGTCATATATCTCAAGAGAAATATTGAATATTGAAAAGAATGTTTATGCAAAATTTTGGAGGCAAACAAGGTGCATTATGGTCTATGTGAAAATAGTGAATCGGTGGATTTTCTTAATGATACAAAATAATGCATTTGTTGGATTTTGAAGTACGTAGCAAAAACCTTGATGACACTGCCCCTAAAAAGTAATTGGAAAGTTTGGCACTTGTATAAACTAACATCGAGCTATTCAATAAAATCACCCTGCCATTTTCTTGTTGTCTTGCTCAACAAGGAATTTAGACCCTCTTATTTGGCTTCTTGATTATGTTAATCTCGATATTGAAAATTCGTGTCCCAGAACAAATTGCATAGATTCTTTAGTGTTATATAGAGGATATTACACGGTGGCGCGAAGATAATGCACTCGTTCGTAAAATATTGTTTTTGCCACGAGAAAATAAAATTCATATCTTCAAGCTGCCGTGTAATGTTCTTTTTATTATATAGACAAAAAGACTGATAAAATAATAGAGGGAAATTACCGACATTACGTCATCGATAAACTCACGTGTGAGATTATAGAAAATAAACCACTCGGGTCCCGGATGTAGTTTTTATGAATTTTACGAGTGGTATATTTTCCAGTAAAACACTCGTGTCTATATAATAAATGTTAATAAAAATTGCAGACTGTCAAATCACAGGCATGAAAACCTAAAAATACCGGCCTGCATTTTTGTAAAAATCTAAAAAAAAGTTATGAATTTTTTTCCACTCACCCTTTCATTATAAATTGTTGATTAAAACTAATAAACTCGAAGACACAACAGTAAGTGAACAGTGCAGATTTTTTCGTGATGAATGTCATCAAAGGCAAAGTTTTGCATTTTCCTACATGTATACAGTTGGTTGGCTTCACTGGACATGACCAGGCTAGGTTTATCCAATTAATAATAAACATCTATTGCTTATAACTTTATTGAATAACAGACTAATAGGCATATTTACATTAATATTTTTCATTTTTTCCACATATTTATCATGCAACAAAATCCTAGCAGTGGTAATAAATAATGACCTTGTTCGCTGATTAAGATTTGGGCACAAGGCCATTAATATTAATTTTACAGCATTTTGTTATAGGCAATGATGTCATAGCTTCTTTTCAAGTTAATATGCAAAAAACAACTTGAAGTATAAACTCTAGATCTCAGTCAACACCTTATTTGCTTTGTTTTGCTCCGTAAACAACTTTTTTTTCCTGAGGTTTTGTTTGCTTGTTGTTCATATAGAGTTTATTAATTCAGCAGCAGAAACTTATAAAAAAATTTCCCCCAAAAAATCAATATTACTCTACTCTTCGTTTTTTGACTTTTTAAAATGATTTTCACTGCGTTTTCTGAAAACTTTTTACCAGAAAATAAACTTGCGGCTGACTTTTCACAGACCTTCACATTAACTACCTCTTCCTGACCACTTGCAAACTTTTCCTGATTTTCCTCTGGCCAAGAAAAATCACATTTCTTTTATAATCATATGTATAACTATTTATATTATAGATTTTCCCTGATTATGTCTGTCCATGATAACACTGTCATTGACACATTTTGGCTGTGCTGTGATTGTCCCAGATGCCTCAAATAATGTTCAGATGATCGGGACAATCATATGAAAACCCTACCCAGACGATCGCAAATGACCTGGATGACTGAGATGACCTCTATCGATCGCGTGAATAGAGTTGAGTTCTATGCGGACGATTGGGAGCATCGTGTAAATTTTGAAGTGATCTGGAAATGCTTTCAGATGACTGAGACTATCAGGACGATCAAAGGCTATCCCAGAGATCATCACTATCATTCCATTAATTGAGAATATATTCGGCCTGGATGCCGCTGAAGTAAAAAATAATTAAAAATGTTCACATCACGTATGGGTGCTATTTGAATTAAAGAGAAAGTCTGTTTCTTCAAGTTCTATACGTGATACAATATCTTTGTGGAACTGACTTCTAGTTTGTTGACACCACAAAATAGAGAGAAAAAGAAGATAGCATAGCTCGAGATTTGCTCACCATTTAAAATCCATCATTACATGTATGTTTGGCTTGTTTGTGAAACCCACACAAAAATTCTATTCTCTGACTCAGAGACATCGCTGATGACACCCCGTGTCTCTTGTCGTTGAGGCACCCGTACGATCTCATGGAAACCGCCTATCGTCCCAGTTGTCTGGATCATCTCAAAACTTTTTTAAACGACTGGGGTGATCGGGATGATCATATGGAAACAAGGCTTTATATGCCTATCTCCCCATAATAAACACTTAGAGATCTCCATCTTTAAGGTGATTGCTGCAGAGTTTCACCTACAGCTGTATACTAACATTAAAAGCCGGAGTCAAGCTTAATATTTTAATTAGAGAGCATCATAAAATATTTTTGCTGGAGAAGATTTCAAAGGTGTATTTTGATGTGGCATGCGATTGAGTTACAATGTAGAGCATTTCAAACTTAAAAACTTGAATCTTTAACAAAAAGAGTTATAGAGGAGCTGGTAAATGATGAGGATGTTTTTGTAAACCAACTGAATCTGGATTGTATTATTTTCCATTCTGCACAAACAAAAATATTAATATACCACCAATTGTTAAAGAAATAAAAGAATGTTACTGTACTTACAGTAAACACCCACTCACTAATAAGAAACTGTGGTTTAAGAACCTGCTGGAGAACATAATGTCCTGAATAAAGCAGCTAAAATAGTTCTAAAATAGGCTGGGCAAAAAGAAAAGGAAACTCAACAAGGCGGCTCTCAAAACAGTTAGCAAGCTAAGTCTGGGGCAGTTTCCTGGAAAGAGACGGTTGGAGGCCTGTGAGATGGCAAAAAAAAACCTTGCTCAGTCCACCAAGCAACGTTCAGCTAGTCTCCTTGGCAAAGAAGTAAAAAAACCTTACTGCAGAGAGAGGCCGGGATGATTATATTTTGTTTACATGAATGCTTAAAATGTTTTTTTGGCTGCCTAATCTAAAAGAATGATATTGTTTGGGGGTCAAAGTGGCTCCTGTGTACCAGGTGATGAAAAAGCTAAAAGTGGCTCATATGGGGCTCTAGACGCTATGATGACTTATCCCACTCTATGCCATGTGCAATGGCTACAGAATGTCATAAGAAAAAAAAGGGGACCTGCAGCTTACTGAACTTCTGAATACAATCATGTAATTGATAGAACAATAAACATCTTTTAGAAATTTCATGTAAAAATAAAGTTTTGATCAAAAGTTAATACTGAGCATGAAATTAGAGAAACAAACTTTTGGGACACTCTGTACATCTCCTTCATAAAAATT